ATTTCAAGATGCTTAGTTATGCTTGCATGATGAACTTCATCCGTGCTTTAATACTTCAGATGCCAGAGCATCTGTAATGTCTGGCAGTGCCAGACTCTTCGACTTGCCTGTGATGCTGGTGGAAGGCAGCTGGCTCTGAGGTGGGAGAACAGAAGACAATATCCTGGGAAGACATCAGTGCAAAGTGGCCAGCACAAGTATTAGCTAGGGATGCAGAAGGCGCAGCTGTCCTGGTGTGATGCTGTTCAGTATGTAGGGGGCAGATGCTCTTGCTGGTGTGCCTCCTCTCCTCAATTCTAATGTTAAATTAAACGAGGTCTCTTCAGCGACTCTCAGTGGTCTCTTCCTTCAGCTTGGTGAAAGTTCAAGACCAAGGCTAAGACAGAGAGCAAACTTCTTACTTCCCTTTGGGCTCTTTGAAAGAGAATGAGTCTTGGAAGCTCAGGAAAATGTTCTCTTGGAATCCATCATGCCACAAACGCATGAAAAGGGAAGCAAGTGGCGTGCATTGTGAAAGGGCGATTCGTTCTCATTATTTCCTGGCATATTGATTCTCCGCTTCGACAAGAGAGCTCTGTCACCCCGTCAGGCGGCGGTGACGGATGGCTGTGCCTGCTCAAACAAATGGCCCTGCTGGGAGGGGAGCAGCGAGGCGTGGGCAGCACAGCACGGCATCTCCAGCCCTGGAGGGGATGGCAGGTGATGGTCTTGCTGGGCTGCCGTCGTGGAAAGAGAGTAGGAACAGTGCTGGAGAGGATGAGACCTGTGCTGTGGTGAATGGCTGTGCAAGATCACTGTTCTCTTAGCGCACAGCTAGCTGTCGTGTAACCTTTGTTCTGGCAGGCTTTTTTCTTCTAGTAACTCTTCTGGTCATGCATGGCTTATAGCTGTTTGCCTCTATGCTTCCTAGATCCACTGAGCCCATCCCTGTTTTAACTGTACCTGGCATTTTGAAGGTTGAAAGTCATCGTTGAGCCTGGGAGGTGACATCTGCCTTTGGTCTGTCTTCCTGGGATCACAGAGGGGTCCAATGTCTTTATGGCTCAGTCTGGATCTTCTCTATTATTTTTTGCATGCTGATAGACGGAGGTAGGTCCCCAGGTGAAGCATCTCAAAAGCATGGTTTTCTGCCAGGGATGGAGGGGAATTAAGCTAGAAACCCATTCTGAGCAGTGTTTCTTCCAGGAACCTACCACGGTGGATGAGAGAGAATGTTTCATCCTTGGACTTTTTACTACAGCAGCCTTTCTGCAGAGAGATGAAGCTCGTGTATGAGATAGCATTCACCATTTGCAAAGGTGTTTGCTCTGACTGCAAAACAATCCTTAAACTCAGAATGGCTCAATTATCATCACTGCTTTTCTGTGCAGCTTTTTCTGTCAAAGCTCACAAAAACTCTGTATTTCTAACATCCCCAGGCTCCCATATTTCCCCTAAGTGCTGCTATCTGGATGTGTTCTCATCCATATTCATCCTCTTTCCACCTGCAAGAACCACAGCGTAGCTGTCCCATCTCTGAATCAACTCCTGAGTAAAGCAGGGGCTGTCTGCCAGGTCTGCTCTGTCTGAGAGGAGCAGACAGTGTTTCCTCCTTGGAGAGCTGGACGAGGGGTCTGTAGGTGAGGCAGTGGGGCAGTGGTGATGGCACACGGCACCATTTTTGCCTTTTTGCAGACCTTTCTTTTTTCCCTCACACATTCTCCTTTACATCTTTCGGTTAAAAAGATGCTCAAACCTCAGGGGGTGGTCAGAGAGACGAGAAGAAGTGTCCTCTGTGCCTTGTGAGCTGCTGAGCCTGTCTGTGGTGTGTGTTTGCAGTGTCTAACAGTTTGAAAACCAGGACAGACAAAACCCTCAATTGCTTGTTAAGGACTTGTAATAAAATAACTATAATAATAATGGTGTAAAATAAGGCTTTAATGCAACCTGCTAACAATCCATCGCCACCTTGTCTTTGCTGCGGTCGTGATGTCTGAAGGGCTTCTGTCCCTGGAGCGTGTTGCCTAAGTGATTTGTCCTACATGCACAGGGTAGATTGATGCTTTAATGGCTCCATGTCTGACTTAGCAAGGGCTCTTTCTGGTGAAGCACCACTGTTGGACAGTTCATGTGGCAACTGCAGGTGACCCAGAATAGCGTGGTGTGAGTGCCTTCAGCCCTCTGTCCCAGGTGGAGGAGGATGTGAGCAGGAGCTGTGTGCGCCTGCAGGTGCTGTGCTGCCTCTTGTCTGCTCAAAGCTGTCTGTCAATCAGAGCCTGTCATCTTCTTTTCATCTTGATTTATCACCCAGCATAACTAGGTTTCAGAGTTTCATTTTAGGTTTGCCTCCTTCCAGGGACAGGCAGATAAATCTGGCATGCAAATGGTTTAACTCTCTGGTTCCAGGAGCAAGGAGAGAGACTGACCTGCTGCAGGGAATGAGGAAATGCTGCTGTCAGGGCTGGAATTGGGCTGCAGCAGCAGCTTCCAGGTACCCAGCACCACCTCTCTCAGGGGGAATGCATCAGCAGAGCACAGCCTGCCTTCTTGGAAACAGCGCTGGTGTAGATCATAGTAATGGACTGTCACTCTTCATAACTTCAATTTCTGATAGGTTTAATTTCTGAAAAGTATTTAAGGGAAAAAAAGGAAAACAGCAAAGGCGGTATTAATTCTAGCTTCTTAAGCCATATACTCATATCTATCATTTCAGGAATCCACTGGAAATCTCATCTGTCACAGCTCCCTACCACAAAAACACACACTGGGGCAGAGGAGAAAGTGGGGGTCTCTGAAAAGAGGCTCTGAGAGCAGGGTGTGAGCCTGCAGCTTCCTGAACTGGTGCTGTTAGCACTGGTGTGGGAAGGGAGGTTTGAGCCAATGGTGAGACTGAGCTGGGAGATGGAAGTGGGTCAGCCGTCACTCCTGCTAGGCAGAGCAGGTAGGTGTTATGGTGTGGGGAAGAGGTGCAGGACTTCTGCAGTGCTGCTGGTGAGATGCAGGAGCAGTGTGGGATGGCTTCAGAGCCTGAGCACTCCTGCAGGAAGGAAAGGAACACTCTCAGCACATGTCCAGTTCTGCCCTGCCTGGTTTGCCCTGTTCTACACAGCACCTTCTCTCTCTTGTAGCCCGTGTGACCCTGGGGAGCACAGCTGGAGTGTATCGCCATAAGGCTGCCTGGCTCTGTGTGATGTGGCTGGCAAACATCTTTGCTCGGGAGGACACAGTAACCATAGCTGTTCTCACAGGGCATTTCACTTGCTGGTTTGAGTGGAGGCAGTGGGAGTTGCACGCATTCAGATCGATGAATTACTCTTTTCCATAGCCCTCTGTAGCTGGACTTGGGAAAGTGAAGAGTGCCAGCACTCCCAAGGAGGTCTGCCTCTCAATGCCACAAAGGAATAGATTTGCTGTCATCTCCCCAGCGCAGTGTTTTCGGAGATGTGTTAGAGTTGTCCTGTCACTGGGAAGCAGTTGGAAGTGAGAGGTGTCCTGAGGCAGAGGCAGTAAAAGATGAAATACAGAGTGAAGCTGGGTGAGTGCTGAGCATGAAGCTGCTGTTTGAAAGATGAGGAAGGAATGCTGTGAGAGGAGAAACTGAGTTTTGGAGAGCACTGAGAGTGTGCAGGAGAGAACAGTGTGCAGTTATGGTTATCCTGGTGTTGTTCTGGAACTGCTGCTTCTGTTCCCATCTGTGCTGAGCCTTCCTGCCTCCAGCTGCCCATGTCAGGCACAGAGCAGGCAGGTGTCCTCCTCACCTCCCTTTGTACCCTGCCTGGCTCCTGGTGCTGCCTCCTAGGGCTTGGCCATGGAGCTGTCTGCTCTTCTGTTTAATTTCTCTGTATTTTTATTTATGACATTCAAAGTCATGCATAATACGAGTGTCAGCGTTTTTGGTTTTTTTTCATTACCTGATAATTCATGGCTGTGCTTTGATGCCTCAAACCAGTGCAGGAGACAGCTGTGTGTGTGCCACAACAACCCATCCATTGCCAGCATCAGGCTGTAAATTTTACTGTTTTGTACCCTGCCAGGCAGGTTTTTTTCCACTGCTCCACCTGATGATCATCCTTCCCAGGTCGACATGATTTTTGTGATGCCAGAATTAGTTTTCTGCTGTCTTTATGTGCCATGCTAGGAATAATGGCCTAGCAATAACCACTTCAGGCTGAAATTTCCACCAGCAGAGTAAATAAGGGTATTAGCCCAATCTCCTCAATTCATTTTTGTTCGTGGCACGTCACTTTGTGATAAGCTTTGTGAAATGTTGTTAGGCTATTCCCTGACACAAGTGAAGGATAGACAAGCAGACTTTGTGCCTAGAAATGATGAATTTTAATAGCAGTCTTTCGGTGCTGTCTTAGTCCCTTCCAAACTGGCTCCTCCACCCTGGGATTAACTACAGACAGCCTGGAAGTGGCTGGCTAGTTCTTGCTCTGTCGTGCTTGGCAGATCGCAGGGACAGGAAGGCTCTGTGGTATCTGCTGCTCCCTTCTACCTGCTTGGAAATATTAGTCCAGTTGCAAATGTGTAGGAACGTTACTGGGATTGGCTCTGCAGCTGGGCGTCAACTTTTCTTCTTCTAGAGGTCAAAGCTCAGACGTCTCTAACTCACTTCTAAAAGGTGATGTTTAGCCGAGGTGTGTGGCAGAAGCATCCATGGGCTGAGACCCCTGAGGAGATGGCGATGGTCTCAGCCGTGTTTGCTCTGGGTCCTTCAGGAGCATCTACTAACACAGTGACAGAGTTTGTAACCTCGGTTGCAAACAGAGGTGGGAGAGTGAGTACCTGGGGAGGGAGATGCCTGCCAAAGACAGCCCGATGCTTAATGTTCTGACTAGTGCTGACAGCAAATCCTGATTAACTCCTGTGCGTCTTGTCTTTGGTGCAGCATGTTCTCCAGAGATAAGGGGATGCTCCTGTGGAGCAGGAGAGCTGATGCCAGGACTGCCAGTGCCGACGGGAGGAGGGTTGTGGGGAGCATGGGCCTGGGCTTGACCTGAAGTGTTCTCTCTCTCCAGCTTTCATCCTCATGATAATTCTGGCCCTCATCCGCATCAGCAGAGGCCAAGCAGAAGGTCACCCGTCCATGGCCCAGCTGTCGGGCATCCGCAATCTCTTTGGGGTGTGCGTCTACTCCTTCATGTGCCAGCACTCCCTGCCATCCCTCATCACACCCATCTCAAAGAAGAGGCACGTCAACAAGCTCGTGCTGCTCGATTACATCCTGATCCTGGCTTTCTACAGCCTCCTGTCCTTCACTGCCATTTACTGCTTTCGCAATGACACCCTCATGGACATGTACACGCTGAACTTCACCGACTGTGAGATCATCAACGTTGCCTTCATTCGCTACTTCTTGGGCCTCTTCCCAGTCTTCACCATCAGCACCAACTTCCCCATCATCGCAGTGACCCTGCGCAACAACTGGAAGACCCTTTTCCACAGAGAAGGGGGGACCTACCCCTGGCTGGTGGATAGAATTGTCTTTCCTGCCATCACGCTGGTCCCCCCGGTGCTGGTGGCTTTCTGCACCCACGATCTGGAGTCCTTGGTGGGGATCACGGGAGCCTATGCTGGGAATGGGATCCAGTACCTCATCCCAGCTTTCCTGGCGTACTGCAGTCGGAAGGACACCCAGCTGGTCTTCGGCAGCGGGGCGGTGAACAAACACCTCTCCCCTTTCCGGCACACCTTCTGGATAGTGTTCGTACTCATATGGGGCTTTTCTTGCTTTGTGTTTGTGACTGCAAACATTGTCCTGAGTGAGTCTAAATTCTGACGTGGGGGTAAGTGTTGTGCTCACTCTGTGGCTCCGCGGACTTCCACCCTCACCAGGACTTTGGGGGGAAAGAGGCGGTGAAGGGAAGCCTCCGGGCCGTCGGCGTGGTGGTGCAGGTTGGACCTGGACACAGACTTCCTTCACTCCAGATTGAGTGCGGATGGAGTGGGCTCAGCCTCGTCATCCTGGTTCTCAGACCCACTATCCAGGCAGCCTGCATGCCAAGCCAGTGTCCAGCCATTTCTGCCTTCAGCTCTGTTTGAGCATCACTCTGTTCTTACACTGACTCTCTTCTGATGCTGCAGGTTTCAGTGTGAGGAGAGCAGACAGCCTTGGCTGCTCACTACAGTAATCAGCTTCATGTTCTTTCTCCCCTGGGCAGGGACTCGCTGTGTGCGGTCCTGCAGGAGTTTGGGGGCTTTGAGTCTCTTCTGTCTGCTGAGACCCCTGTCAGCCAACCTCCTGTGCCAATTTAGGGAGGAAAGGAGAGTTTGGGGTGGGAATAGCCCTGGCTCCAAAGGCTCTGTGCTCTGTTACACTTGTGTTTTTATTTTTTTCCAGAGACTTTAACCTGTTTGTGCTCTGGGGAAGGATTGCCTGCTTATCAGAGCTGGATTTCTCCAGGCCAAGAGTTCACTTTCACACTTCTCATCCTGTTCTCCTTTGCTCTGGCAGCCCCAACCCCACGGAGGAGTGCAGGGATATTTCTCTTCCTTCTGGGAAGGAGAGTGCAGCCTTGCTTCCCTTGCCTCCTGCATGCTGCTCTCAGTGACTCCAGCTGTCAGAGCCCTTTCCATTTCATACACTACAGGCCAGACCCCAGCTGCAGTGGTCAGGGTTTGTGTGGGCCGGGAAGGTGCTAATTACCCAGTCCTGACACGTGTTAGGCCTGCAAGAGCTCTGGCTGTGCAGGCTGATGCATTTCCAGCCTCCTGTGCTGGGTAATTAGCCTTGAAACAAGGTGGGTGTTAACTCAAGGGACTGGGCTGATGCCAACAGGGAGAGGCCGTGCCATGGCTCAGCTGTGCGAGCCTCTGTGCAGGAGCTGAGCTCCCAGCATTACAGGGGACAGAACACTGGAACTGGTCCTGAATCTCCCAGCTCTTCAGCACTGGGAGGTGGCATTCTGCTGGTCCTGCTCGGCTTATCTGAGCTGCTGACCCCCTGGGCATTTCTCTATGTGCTTTGGGCTGCCTGCTGCATTAGCCAGCCTGTGCTGCAGATAACAGTTGCTGCTTCTGAGGCTCCGGTTGGTCACCAACACAACACAGTGACAAACGGTGCTCGTTCCACTATTCTGAGCCCTCAGGCAAAGATTGTATGGGTTTTTTTAACAAAAGCAAGAACTTCAAAAATTTTCTCCTGAAATATTTTAAACACTTTCTCCCCCTGCCCTCATTAGACAGGTTCAAAGCCAGGTGTGTGTCACTTCTGTTACATCCTCTTGCCCTCTGCACTTGCTGCAGTATTAAGTGTTACTGATAGTTAAAGCAAGCTTTGAACTGCAGCTCTTTTTAATCAAGCTCCGTTTTCAAGTAGGACTTTCTAGTTTCCATATGACCTGAAGTGCTCCTCCTGGGGGACTGTGCAAGTACCTGGAGCTGAATAAAAACACTTGATGGTTTCTAAAGCAAAGCCCTCCACTCTCCAGCCTGAGCACTGTGCCTGTGTCCTTGCCAGGCTGCAGGGGAGGATGTGAGGGGTCTGTTTCCTTCAGCTCCATCCTGAGCAGGCACTGGCAGCCCTTGCTAGTGAATTTAAACATCCCCTAGTGTTCCAGGGAAGCTGATGTGGCATCTTTGGTGCCAGATGAGCAAGATGCTTTGCAGGTGGCTGGTGTCTCATTTAGGAAGAGTGGCAGTAGCTGGGCAGCTTGGAGAGTAAATTCAGTGGGCATTTGAGCTGGGGGTGTTCTGTGAGGTTGGGGCAGACAGCTGCTCCTTCCCCTGCCTGCATGGTGTGGGGATGGCAGGTGCTGTGCTGGGGCATGCTGGGCCGTCCTGTCCTCTTGCAGCAGCTGTGAGCCAGGCAGAGCCAAAGGAGGAATTTGATGCTAATGAAAGCAGCCTTCAGAAGGCTGGAAGGGCTGCAGGGGCTGCTCTTCTACACGAGTGCACAGGTGTGGCTTTATGGAGGAGGCCCCTGTATTTCCTACTGCACTGCCTGCCCTTGGCTGTCGCCTCCCCTTGTGCAAGGCATTCAGCTCAGCCTCATCCCTTCAAGCTCTGATTTGAATTTCTTGCCTCCACACTTCATTGCCCGCCAGAGGACGTTACTGACCGATGTTACTTTGCCCCCACACATCCTCCCTTCCTCGCTCAGGACTGCCCTCCAACTGGCCGTGGGTTGAGGCTGCCCAGCCCCCCCACACACAGCATCCTCATGCATTTCCCCTCCTGCCCCCTGGGCACCACAGCCTGTGCCAAAGCACAGCTGCTCCTGGGCCCCACCACGAGCCCCACCTCTTCCATTGACTGGGCCGTCTCCATTGCTGGTCTAGCTCTGAAGCTGCACCTTCTCTTGCCTGGCCATGGTGAGCAGCTCTCCCTGGGCACACTGTGGGCTGGAGCTGCTGGGCCTGGCAGTGGGCCGTGCTGTGGCACCCCGGACAATCAGAAAAGCTGTAGTCCCAGAGGAATGTAGGAACTTCTAGAAATAAATGACCCCGAATTTCCAAACACCTGCTGTCCTTGGGCAGCAACAAAGCAAACCTGTCCCAAGAATTGGAGTGATGAAGGGAAGGGAACTCTGTGATGGTGAGAGTGTTTTTCACACAAAGCCTTAAAACTGATGGGAGGGAGTGGGAAGGGGTGCTGATTAGAGTGGGGTGCTGCTGGGTGTCAGCCCCCTCCTCACTGAGCAGATCCATCATTGTTGGGCTGTCACACAGACATTTCATTAGCACAGGTTCTCACATGGTGCTTGGCCTGAATGCAGCCAGTATTCAATAAAAAGGGATTCAAACAACAACCTGCACACGTCTGTTCTGCCTGCCCTGCGCTCCCTTCGCACAGCGCGTCCTGCAGGGAGCACAGGATGGGCAGAGGGCCCTGGGTGCTGCTGCTCCATCAGCTGCTGCTCCATCAGCTGCTGCCTGCGAGCTCCATTAACACAGCTGCACTTTCCCCTTCTCAATTATACCTCCTCACACTTAAAACCAAACAAATTGAATTGCTCCACTGCCTCGGGCTGCAAAAGCAGTTTCTGCCAACAAATTTATTGTCGCCGTAAAGCGCAGCTTGATTTATGTTAAAATATTAAAACAGATCTTTATGATGGAAATAAACACTTCTGCTGCGATTCTCTCTGAGGACCTCACAGGCAGTGCAGGATGTGGGGGCTTGGGCAGTAAATCTGGAGGCCAAAGTGGCAGCAAGGATGGGTTCAGTCTTTGGTGATGCTTTGTAAAGGACTGGAGGAGGGGAGAGGAAAACCTCCGTCCCGCAAGGCAAGCTGAGCTCTGGGGGGGGTGGCAGCCACCCCACACCCACTGTCCCCACCAGAACCCACCTGGGATGAAAGGTGCAATGGAAGCACCGATGGGGACGGCTGTGGGGCAGCGGCGCATCGCCTCAGTGGGCACACAGAGCACAGCCCAGGGCAGCAGAGCCGGCTGAGTTACAGGATGATGGATCACAGCATTCTGCCAGGAAGAAATCACAGTGCTCAGAAGCTGCTGAGCGCCAAAACACCCAACACGTGCACAGCCCTGAGCCCCCCAGCACCACGCTGCTCCTCCTGCCAGCGCCCCACATCAGCACTGCAGCCACAGGGAATGGAGGAAAAAAAAAAAAAAAAAGAGCCGTTTTCCACATCCCAGTCAGTGTAAAAATCAGCAGTGCAGATCTGGGGCTATGCTCACCCCATGGGCTCCCATCCCCAGTGCCACCTCCTGCAGGCACCCTGTGCCACCCACTGCCACCTCTTCCCTCCCTGCCCTCCACCTCCCGCAGTGAAGTCCTTCAATAAAACAAGAGGGAAATGCATTTGGCCTCTGCTGAGTCACCAGGGATATAACTAATTAATTGAAAACGTGGGCTGGGGAGAATTTTCTTTTGTCCTTACAGCCCCCAAACCCAGCCTGGCCTTGAGCACTGCTGAGCCTGGGCAGTTACCACACCACGCGTACCATGGTATCTTTGGGCCACAAAGCCACAATTTGGGGAAAACTTCCCAGGACACCAACAGTGACAGTCTGTCCCCAAAGGGGCACCCATCAGCCAGAGCTGCCCCACTGAGCTGCAAGGCCAGTGACAGCCCAGCTCACTCCCCACACCTCCATCCAGCACCATGGGCTCGTTTCTCCATCCTTTCCACTCTCTATCACCACTGCTCTCCCTCTCCAAGAGGCCCTCAGAGGGGCTGCCAAAGCAATTAAGTGACAATTGCGATGATAAATAAGTAACAGGAATTAAAACGCTGGCACGTGATGGCAGCCAGGCTGGGGGCGGATGCAGAGACACTGGCTGGATGTAACCCAGGCCAGATGGATGGATGGACAGACAGATGGATGGACAGACAGGCTGTGCCAGCATGTTTGTCCTAGGGCAGTGAGCGTCCAGCTCTCCCCAGGGCTTTGCTGCCACCCCCATGGTGCAATCGTGCCAGCCTGGCTGAAAACAGGCCTGTGTCAGCCTTGAGCTGGGACAGGAAAGGGACTGTGAGCCCAGGAGGGGTGTGGGGTGATGGCACAGCGTAACAGCAGCAGGACCAGCACAATGAGGTGTTACTAAAAAAAAAGCTCACCCACCTCTGAAGATACAGGCTCATAGAAAAACTCCACAAAAGAGGGATCTCCAACAAGAGATCCTTCTCCAGTGGCAGTCAGCCCTTAAATGAGGTTGGAGAGGTGCAGCTGGCTCCACCCCTTCCCATCACACAGGTGAATTGCCTCCACCTGTGCTCCGGGGCTGAGTGGATCTCTTCTCCCAGGCGCTCAATCAGTGGTTCAGGCTGTGACTCAGCAGTTCCCACACACAGCCAGACGAGCTGAAGCCAGCAGGTTGCAGCTGAGCTCAGTCCATTTACCCCACATCCTGCACTGCAGTTGCTCTCCCATCTTGCTCTCTGCTCATCACACCAGGGGCAGCCAGGCACAGAGATGTGAGCAGGGATGGGGCATCACTGGGGCATCAGGGGCATCACTGTGGCTGAGGGGACAAAGCCAAGGGCAGCGAGGGGCTCAGCAGCGGCGCTGGAAGAAGGGTCCCCAGCCAGTTCAAAATGTCTCTTTAATGACTTGGACAGGACGCTTGGAGTCCCTCGATGAAACCAAGACAGAAACATGGTGACAGTGAGTTTAGCGTCCCCATGTCCCCAGCCAGCCCTGCCTGCGGAGAGCCCAGTCAAGCCTCAAGGAGGCTCCTTTGGCCTCCAAAGTGGGCAGACCCGGTTTGGAGCATCCCACTGTTGGTGATGGAGGATGCTCGAGCGCATCCAGGAGGAGCGGCCTGGCGCAGGGAAGGAGGGTGAAGGGCGCTTGGCTCCTCTCACGCAGACCGGAGGCGAGCAGGGAGCAGCACATCTCTCGGAGCCGTCCGTGCCCCCATCAGACCTCTGACTCCAGGCTGGAGACCCGCCGCCAGGACCCGCCTGCACAGGGAGTCGTCACCGCGCGGGCCGCCAACCGCTCCATGCCCACCGCGCGCAGCCAGCCCGGCTCCCCCCGCCGCCCCCAGTCTCTGTAGGCTCCGTCCCAGCGCCCCGCCCCCCGGCCGCCCCCCGGCACCTCGGGGTGCTCGAGGGACGAACGGCCCAGGTAGAGGGGCGGGTGGGCGTAGAAGTCCGCGCAGGCGTAGGGCGCGCACGCGGTGCCGCGGGGCTTCTGCCGGCACGCTTCCCGGTAGGACGGCAGCCGGACCAGAGGGGAGCGCGGCGCCCGGCCCGGCCCCGCCAGCCGCCCGGCGGCCTCGGGGCAGCGCGGTGCGCAGCCGTGGGTGGCCTCGGCTTCGGGGAAGAGGTCGGGGACGTCGCCGCGGGCAGCGGGTGGGCGCGCCCCGCACCGCCGCAGCCCCGCACCGCGATGCTTCTCTCCCCGCTCCCGCGACGCCCGGTCCGCGCTCGCCCGCCGGCTCGGCTGCTCCCGCTCTGCCGCGGCTCTGCAAGTCCTGGCGGCTTTGGGAAAGGAGCTGCGGGCGCAGGCGGGGGGGAAGGACGCGTTCCCCACCTCCCTTCTCGTCTCCGACGCCGGGAGCGGCCGCGGCGCCGTCCCCGCGCCGTCCCCGCAGAGCAGCGGGGCGCTGGGCGGCCGCTCCGTCCGCCTGTGCTCCCGGTAGATGTCCGGCGGCGGGAGCTCCCTGGGAGGCGTCGGGGCGGCAACGGGAGCGCCGATATGGTTCCCCATCAGCGCGTGCTCCTCGAAATCCCCGTCCGGCGCCGCCTTCGCCGGGAGGTGCGGGAAGGGCCCCGGCAGGGCTCTGTCCGCCGCCCCGCCGCCCTGAAGCTTCACGGGGTGAAGGACGCGGGGGGTGCGTTCGCTCGGCCCCCTCCATCTCTCCTCCCGGGAGTCCACGGGGATGGGCAGAGGCAGCCCCCGGGGCGGCCCTTTGGGCGCGTAGACTCTGCGCAGCCTCTCGGGGTGCAGGGGGGCGCAGGAGGGACCCCGGTGCGTGCCGGTGCTGTTCTGCACCACGAGCTGCGGCGTCCTGAGCGAGAAGGTGGTCTGGAGGTGCTCGCTGCGGCTGCTCCAGTCCTCGATGGTTCGCGTGGCGTGCTCCAGCGAGCCGCCCACGCTGGCCGTCGACACCATATCCTTGGCCGCCTGCAGCATCTTCAGCACGTTGGCTTGGGCTGAGCTCGCCGTCACGTCGGGCGTGGGCGCCCGCCCGGGGCTGCCCAGGGTCTGCACCCCGCTGAAGCAGCTGTAAATGCCCTGCGGAGACAGCGGGGAGACCGCGCCGTCAGCAGGACTGCATACACAGAACTGCATACAGCCCCGCCGTGAGCTGGCGCTGCAGGACGGCTGGGAAGAGCCAGGAGTTGGCCTTGATCAATTGAAAGCTCAACTTGGACCGACAAAGCCCCATCCCCAGTTCCTGTCCCCCGGCATCTCCCCACGCCCCAGGAGCCAGCAGAGACCGATGCCCGAGGCTGTCCCCTCCCGGCGCCCCGCGGCGCGGCACACACCCTGCTGATGGCCAGGAGGAAGTCGAACTTGTGGGACTTGGGAACGCTGTGCCGCAGCTTCCAGTAGACGAGGTGCTCCCAGGCGAAGACCAGCAGGCTGAGCCCCATGGCCACCAGCAGCATGTAGAAGACCCCAGCCATGTTGTCAATATCCAGCTTGCTGCTCATCACTTCGTTCTTCTCGTTCTGACAGATCCCCGACAGCCACACCGTCTCCAGCTTTTGGGTCTCACCTGGGACCAGGCACACACAGGGATGGGGTAAAAGCCTACCGTGGGCATCATCCCCCCTAGCACAGCCCCTGCCTGTCCTTACTGCACCATGGTGGCGGAGGAGGATAAAATCCACCCAAACCCCAGAGCTGCTATCATAGAACTAGTGTGAATTGGGTTGGCTCAGCCCTCACCACTGAGCATCCCTTGTGTTGCTCATCCTTCTCCAGGCCCTCTCCCATCTCATCCCTCTCCAATCCATCCCCTGTTTCCAGCTCTACCCCCCGGCCCTCAGACCTTGCATATGGCCATCTCCGAAATTTTCTCAGATTTTGCATGTGGGATTTTGCAGCCCTCAAGAAGAGCAGAGACCAGATTGGGAATAACCCCATCCTGTGGCTGGAGAGGTGTCGATAGGTTTTTTTAACATCACCTTGAAGGAGCAGCACGACTTCCCCATCCCCTTAAGGCTACCCATGGATCAGGGGCTCCCACTGAGATGCTCTGGGCACGCACCATCTCCCAGGAATTGCAGCAGGGCCAGGTCAATGGCCCGCTTCCAGCGTGAGTCCTTCTGCAGGGCGATGCCGTAGCCCGTGGTGGCAAACACCTTCCCGCTGCCAATGGTCA